AGAGAGAGAGAGAGAGAGAGAGAGAGACCATGAATGCAACCTGACCAAATATCAAATAAAAGGAATAATTGAGGAGGACAATTATTAGGAGAGATGTTTTATTACACATAATGTGTGTGTATGTGCTGTATGTGTGTGTGTGTATATGTGTGTGTGTGTGTATATATATATATACACATATACACACACACAGCAGATTTAGACAAGTGGTGCAAGTGTCTGCTTTTGCTGAAAATAAACTTCTGATCCTCCAGCAAATTCTAACACCTACATGTTTCTGTGGATGCGAAGGCCAAGGAAACTGATCTTTTTTCCCCTCCTCCTCATTTGCAGAATTACCAACTGTGATAATTCATCAATATTCATAGCCTTGTGTTTTAACACTTTCACACCCAGCGTGAACGACACCGTTCAGAAATAACATCAGCGCCCCCCCCCCTTCCATCGTCAAGTAATGAAGAAAATTGCACTCAACGCTAGAACTTTGACACGTCTCGGCAATGCGGTGACTTAACTCTTGAACCGTTGTAGCGCTTCCCGAGCGCACGGCGAATGCTTTGCTGAGACTTCTGTAGAAGAGTTAAAGTCTGGAACACTTTAGTTTTCTGCTCAGGGCTTGAATTTTTACAAAGGAAACAATTGTCATAAAACGTTACCTCCTTTTTTAAATTGCGCCGCGTTGTTCTCTAAAATCCTGTATTATCTGGTATTAAGGAATAATTATGGCTGCATTCTTCCCTGTTATATAAACATTTGCAAAACCATGATGCGGTCTAATTTGGCCACAAACAATTTGCGAATTCTTTAGTAGCTTGGCAAAATATATATTTTTTGTGTGCAATTTATACATCTTAAGAATAGCAAATGTTGCTGTGCGTCACCAATTTTGCAAATGATTTGGTCCGGGAATTACAATTGTATTAGTATTTTGTGTCTAGTAAATACGCACGGTTGGCATTTTCGCAGGATCTTAATGATGATGTCCGGGCAGGTATATAAAAAAAAAAAATATGTAAGTCTGGGATATGTCTATTAAAAAATCCTTAAAGCATTTTTTTACCTTAATGCATTCTCTACACACACACACACACCCACCCACATAGACACACACACACACGCACACACACCCAAACACTTACCTGTCACCGCCGTAGGTCCCCAAAGCAATCCTCCAACCCGAACTTCCTGGTTGCGGGGGAGGAGATTGAGGGCAGAAGAGCCACAGGCTCCTTATGCTGTCAGTCAACCTCTTGAGCGGAAAGGAGGAGTGTGGCCTGCGAGAGGGCTGTGCGTGTCTATGGAGGCCTGCAGAGAGAGGGATAGCAAAGTGATGTCATTCAAATATTGGAGACTTACTGATAGGAGGAAAGAAAAAGGGCTTGGGGAGTTGACTCTCTTAAAGCCATCGGTATTTTTAGTCATGCCTTAAAAGAGAACTATAGGGTAAGTGGTTTTTTTCCCCCCCCATAGTTCTTTTTAGGGTCAAGGGGGGGACATATACTAACGTCCCGTCACCCAAAGCTCAGTATATCGCGGGCTATTGCCCACGATATACTGAGAGCGCCACAGCCGGGACGGATCCCAACAATACTGCTGCGTGAGTGACAGCTGGCTCTACCTATCTAGAGACCGAGCCAGCTGTGCCCGCACCCTCCCCGTTCGTTTCTCCAGTCAGCGCCGGAGGATCGGAGAGGGGAGGGGGGGAATCCCTGCGGTGAGGCTGCTCCTTCATTGTCCAGTCAGTAGGCTGGTCTGCTTTGTAAGCTATTCTGCATAAGAAAAAGTGAGAATAGTGAGGTAATTGACCTGGCTGTGCTGTATGGCAAGCGGTAGCTGGATCACAATACTGGCAGAACAGATTTACTTATGTTTTAGCATAAACAATACACATGTATTTACATCAGCCTTGCATTTGGCCAGGGTTACTCTGTAAACTGAATGTTTCCAAATCCTTTGATTCTGTGATAAGAGATCATTCGCTAGTTTCAATGGTCCCAGACCTCAACAGCCCGGTTGGATTTTGCCAACTGATCACAATTCTTGAGACAAGTGCCTAAGCATGGACTCTTCCCTTGTACTAGTGTCAGTGTTTCTGTACTGGTTATCATGCCGTCAAGTCTTTTGGCCACCTTGTTGTACCCGTGGACACCTCATTGTTAACTGCTCTTGTGATGTATTGCGTTTGTTCTGGTATGTCTGAGATCTGAGCTCCGCCAAGAACTATGTGTACTAATTCCACTGTGTGTCTCAGGTTCTGAGGTTCGTCAGAGAATGGAACAGTTTGACAGCCATGAAGCAGCGTGTAATCCGGAAGAGCGGTCTGATCTTTACCAGCCCTGTCCTGGCCGTGGGTGAGATCTCCAAACAGCAGTCAGCGCACGTCAGCACCAAGAGGTACATAGGAGCCTCTGCCATGTCAGACGGGCACTGCCCGCTCTCTGAGCATCTCACATCAGCAGAGACTGCAGAGCAACAAATGAACCTTCTAGTGAGGACAGGATTAAGGCACTTACATTGGAGTAAATTACAGGTCTTGCTAGAAATTGAGTTTTTTGTGTATAGGAAAAGAGATCATTTATTCAGGTCTATAAGAACAGCTCTAGTCTTTTAATCCATCTACAGTAATCACAGTTCCGGCCCTGCTTTATCGGGTCCTTGCTTATTCTTCTTGTGAGTTTACAAGGACACTTCCCATTACATGGGTGGATAAAGGGGGAAATCTTAAATAGCAGCAATTTGCATTTGGTTACAGCCCAAAAATAATATATATTGCAGCTAAAAAGCCCTTAGGCCTCGTTCACACCAGATACAGTGCGTTCCGTCCCGATTCTGGCCAGAACGCATCGCATTGCGGCCGGCTCAGTATGTTGTGGGGCAGGAGGGGGCTGGCTACGGTGCCATTCACTTCAATGGACAGCCACGCCCTCTGGCCGCACAGTATCGCAAGGCACGATCAAAATAGTGCTTGCAGCATTTTGTTCGGACCAGACCAGACCACAGGCATAGTGTGCCTTGCGATTCCGTGCGGCCGATCGCATTGCGGCCGGAGGGCGTGGCATTCACTTCAATGGACCGCCACACCCCCTCCTGCCCCACAACATACTGAGCCGGCCGCAATGCAGTGTGTTCTGTCCAGAATCGGGCCAGAACGCACTGTATCTGGTGTGAACGAGGCCTTAGATGTGGTGGCTGTATTAGTTTTCTATTATTTTCACCTGGTGATCTGGCCAGTAGCAGTCAAGGGCTGTAATTCTAATGCAGTGCTGTTCCTGCACTGGGTCACTTCTTGCCGTGATCTCAGCCCCGGAAGGCTCACCCCCACCACCCAAAGAGCAAGGGAGATTAGAGGTCACGTGACTGTTGATAAAAAATGTAATTAAAAGGTATTTACACAACAATGTTAATATATTCAAGAGACTGACATATCTATGCTAGAGGATGCCATTGGCCGGTTGGTCTGTGTAGCCTTTCCTTCTACTTTATCCTTCAGTTGAGTGCTGTATCTCTGTCCCACCCATCTATGTGAACCCTTATAGTGCAAAATACATTATAAACCGAAAGCTACTTCATCTTATTCACAGCAATAGAGAATAATGACGAACATTACAAATACCTTTGTTCTCATAGTAAAGTGTCCAGTATCCACGGCTGTGAAGGGTGGGGGCAGAAAGCTAATGGGAATAGATGAACCTACCTTTGAATGCTTGACAGCAAGTCTCCAGACAGGAGCCACTGTCAATCATTATTGGGAGGCGGGGCTATGGGGTGTCAGCCAGGCTAACTAGACGAGTGCAGGCTTGCCATGCTTTTGCATTGGAGTCCTGCTGTATCCTTTCAACTGGGCATTTCAACTGGGCATGTCTCTCAACACTACCATAGGTCTGAACTGGATTAGCAAACAGAACAGGAAGGGCGGGAGACTGGCAGGATAATCAGGTATTTGTGGTGTTTTTGAAGACACTTGACACACAAAGCAGACATTGAGTATACAAAGCCATTTATTAATTGATTTAGAGTACTTTTTATTTTTATGTGTACATACACTTTAAGAGTAGGCGCTGCCATCTAACCCAATATTTATTTGTGTTTGGGTTCACACTGTTAAGGAACCACATAATAAACCCGATTAATTTTTTTGTCTACGCCTACACGGGAAGCAGAGAGACCTGTCTTCATTTTCGCAGTCTATGAACCCCGCGTGAGGCCGATATCGCCGTCTCCCCGCCGCGTAACATTCTAAATGACGTATCGCAAATCCTTGCAGCAAGCCTCTAACGTCCAGCTCTGAAGGTGTTTGCTTTCCAAATAGGAACACATTACCTACTTTCCTGCTTTCTTCCAAGTAAAAAATTTAAGATCACCTTTTACAAATAGGGAATATCAATATTTAAATACAGAAACAAAGAGCAAAACCAGATCCGATAATGTGCTCATGATAAAGTGCAAATACCACACGGCACACAAAACATTAGTCAGCCTAATGGAGTGTCAGACACATATATGTAGTTTGTTTGATCGTGTTTTCCTCACAGGTACCTGACCAAAGAGGATGTTGCAGCTGCTTCATTAAGGAAAGTTCAGAGCAGCGGGGGGAGCGTGCGTCTTGTCAGCAGGGAATGTACATCGTCAGTCAAAGGGAAGGTGTCTGTGGGTACAGCTGCAGGACCCCCCACCCGGTAAGTGCTATGTGCTCTGACAGTTGCCGTGATAAACCCGTGTGCTGGTTTTATTACTGCTCCATTTTTCACACTTTAAGGTTTAAAATAAGTGTTTTTTTCTTCACAGAAAACCACCAGTTTTCACATTGCAAAAAAAGCTTGTCTTCAGAAAGTTATCTAATGTAGTTTACTTTCCTCCCATCCATCCTCCCAAACTCTTTCCCAAAACTCTCCACTCCTCTCCCTTCTCCATGCATCACCCTTCTTCCTTGTCCTCTTTTCTCTCACCTCTTTTCTCTCACCTCTTTTCTCTCTCTCGCTTATATTTCCTCCTCTTCCCTTTTCTCCTCTCTTCTACTTTTTCTCCTCTCCCCTCTCTACTTTTCTCTGTCCTTTCTTCCCCTCTTTACTTTCTCTCATCGCTTCTCCTCTTTCTTTCTTCCCTCTCTTCTCTCCTTTCCTCTTCCATTCTCACCTCTTTCTCTCCATTCCTCTTTTCTCTCACCTTTCTCCTCCTCTTTCCTCCTCTCTTATTTCTGCTCCTTTTCCCTTCTTCCCTCCTATTATCTCCATTCCTCCTGCCTTCTCCTCTCTTCCATATTTAGTTCTTGCTCTCCTCTCCCCTCTATTTTCCCTTCTTCCCTCTATTCTCTCCATTCCTCCTGCCGTCTGCCCCCTTTTATATTTTCTTCCTGCTCTCCTCTCCCTCTCTTCTCTCCTCCTGCCTTCTTCCCTCTATTATCTCCATTTATCTCTCCTTTCCTCTACCTTCTCCTCTCCTCTATTTTCTCTTCTCTCATTTCTCCTCTACCTTCTCGTGTCTCCTCTACTGTCTCACCTTTCATCTCTCCTCTTCCCTCTCCTTTCTTTCCTTCCTCGTCTCTCTTCTACTTTCTCCTCTCGTCTCCTACCTTCTCGTCTCTCTTCTACCTTCTCCTCTCTCGTCTCTCCTCTTCCCTCTCCTTTCTTTCCTTCCTCGTCTCTCTTCTACCTTCTCCTCTTCCCTCTCCTTTCTTTCCTTCCTCGTCTCTCCTCTACCTTCTCCTCTCTCGTCTCTATTCTACCTTCTCTTATCTCTCTTCTACCTTCTCCTCTCTCCTCTACCTTCTCTCCTTTCATCTCTCCTCTTCCCTCTCCTTTCTCTCCTTCTTCGTCTCTCCTCTACCTTCTTGTCTCTTCTACCTTCTCCTTTCTCGTCTCTCCTCTTCCCTCTCCTTTCTTTCCTTCCTCGTGTCTCTTCTACCTTCTCTTCTTTCATCTCTCCTCTCTTCTCTCATTTCTCCCCTTCCTTGTCTTTTCTCTCTTCTCTTTTCCTCTTATGCTTTCCTCTCTCCCCACCTGTGCTATAGTTGCCGTAAATTAGACTCGGCATAAAACTCTTGAAGTGTAAACTGTTGTAGGTCATCACAGTATCACCACTGCTAATGCCTCATATCGGAGCGACTTAGGGTGAAAGTCTTTCCCTTCATTAGTCAACTCGGTACACTCAAAATGCACGTTTTCAGGTCTCACTAAGATTCCTGGTCAGGCTTGATACCCAATGGACAAACTATGGATGCATCTAACACTTGTATTTTCAGTCTATTGAGTAAGGCAATACATTGGATCATTTTAATGTTCTGCTTTCAGCAGCGACAAGCACAGTACACTTCAGTGCGTTATATGAGCTCTGCCGATCAGTAGGAACCTTGAACACTTTATTTCATAAAATCATTTTTTATTTTATGAAATAATGAAAGCAAGTCAAGCATTGTCATGACTTGCATGAAGATATCCGATGAACCACACATCTGATACGGTGAAGGGAAACGTTTAGTTTGGAATTTATCTTATTTCTTTTTTGGTATATGTTTGTAAATAGAGCATTCTGTTTTTGGTAGATAATTGGGGGGAAAGGCGGGGGTAACATTTTCATAGGGACACTGCTGACATATGGACACTGCTGACCGGATCTGCACATCTGCCACCTGACCCTGCAGGATTTTAGTGATTTTATTTTTTTAATATGAACAATGTAAGTGAGCAGCTTAACCCTTTCATAACCAGAAGTAATTGACGCCTGAATGCCCAGACCAAATGTAATGTGCATCGGTTAACTTTGGTAACTCTGATAACTTATTTCTGTACCTGAAAGTTTTTTGTTTTTAGGTTTTTTATAGGAAACATAGGGATTTTGTCTGTGAAGGTTCTCATTCATCCAGGTCATGGTATATCTGTAAAAAAAAAAAGTCAAGGCAGCAGGACTTGCTGTATTTTTCTTGAAGATGTTTCACTGGACATCCAACCAGCTTTCTCAGAATGACTTGTAAAAAAATGATCTGGGAATAAATATGGTGAATGTGGCTCCAATCCACATACTCTGTTAGTCGCAACCAGGTGTTGATCACATTTGCAGAATTGGAGCTAGAAGGTGTTATTAACCTGCCCAGAGAGAGGTGTTAAAACCGCATTGTATATGGTTTGTTAATGCAAATGCAATCAATACCTGTTTGTGACTAACAGGTTATGCGGATTGGAGCAACATTCACCCTATTTATTCCCAGATAATTTTTGTACAAGTCATTCTGAATTGAGAAAACTGGTCGGATGACCAGTGAAACATCTTCAAGAAAAATACAGCAAGTCCTGTTGCTTTGACTTATTTTTTACAGATATATAGGGCTTTTGTTTGCTACCATTTTTTATGAAATACTCTAATTTACAATTATAGACAAATGTTTAAATAATTTTTTTTAACATCCATGTATTATTTATTTACAGCACGCTATAATATAAATGTATTTCTTTCCTTGTGCACAGTGCATGCATAGAGAAATACATTGACAGCTTTAGCAATATACTATGTTATAGCTGCATGATCACATATTCGGGATCTATGGGATTTGATTAATCTTAGCAGTAATCTTAGCGGTTAGCACTATTGCCTTGCTGCATTGGGGGTCCCTGGTTTGAATCCCACTATATGTATGTGGTTTGCATGTTCCCCCTGTGCAGGCGTGTCTACAAAGACATGCTGGTAGGTTAATTGGCTCCGGTCTAAATCGGCCCTGTATGTATGCGAGATAGAAACCTTAGATCGTAAGCTTCTTGAGGACAGGGACTGATGTAAACATGCACTATGTAAAGCGCTGAGTAAATGGTCAGTGCCATAAAAATACTTATTTCAACAACAATCTTCCCTTTCAATTATATAAGCATGTAATATATTCTATACACGTTATTTGCCTGTAAAAGCCTGCATTGTGTAGACATCCAAAAGCCCTAAGACTGCTGTTGGGTGCCGCCATCTTGTATGTGATGCCGGCAGACTCAGAGCTGTCACTCAAGTGACACTCTATAGCAGGGGTAGGCAAACTCCGGCCCTTAACCTGTGTAAAACTACAAATCCCATAGGGGAATTGCAAGACTCTGACGGCCCAGGTGTGACCACCAGAGGCAGATGCATGATGGAATTTGTAGATTCACTACAGCTAGAACGTCAGTTTGCCTCCTCCTTCTCCGGCAGGTAAGATTATGTAAATAGGGGAGGGGAGCTGTGCCAGCACAGAGAATAAAAAGACACTCTTAGAAAATGAGGGTGCTGTGACAATAATGGAGAGAGGGGGCTGTGCTAGGGAACTGTCTAGTCAATTTGTTCAAGTTAAAAGGAAAATTGCAGGTGAATAAAAATAATTTATGGACCTTCCTGCAAGCAAGAATTTAAAATACCTGATTTTTCTTTACTTGCAATTTGTGCAGTTGGTGACAGGGTCTCTTTAACAAGCAAAGTCACTGCAGTGGAACGAGTATGCAGCCTGTGAGTGAGATAACAGAGCAGCTTCCATCAGAGGCTTCAGAGATAGGCATTGTGCTTTGTGACAGTTCCTTTGGGATGAGTTTGCTAAGTTTTAGTGGCAGCTTATTAATGCGGAAAGTTGTGCATGACTGGCAGTGCCCGGTGAGAGTGATTGACACGGGTCTGGCGAGAATGATTGGCAGCGCCTGGTGAGGAATGATTAATGGGAGCTGCTGGGTGCCGACTCTCAGGAAGGCACTGATAGACAGTGTGCTGGGTAAAGGGAGGGCTGGAGAGCATTTGAGTTTATTTTAGGTGATCATACCCATTTAAGCTGGAAATAACCTGAGATTGGAGAGATATCTCTATGAAGTGAGAAATGAGCAGCGACCACGAATTAAAGCTGAGCAGATAAGCTGCGATGGTCCGGCCAGGGTGCCTTCATTTAAGTAGAACTCCAATCATTTTTTTCCTTGTATATATTTTTCTTCTTACTTTTTTCCTCTGGTATATACAAAAAAATGTATTGCGAATCTTTACTTGCCTACTGCAGCGCCTCTTCTGGCAGACGGGCAGTCATGTCGTTCTGTCCATTCCCAGCCTGTGGTGTACACGTCACTCTAGGGGGGCGCATCATCACACAGACCGGGCTCACATACCCCAGGACTTAGCGTCGTTCCCGTGGTCACAATGCTGGAGTTCCGCTATAAAGCATAACTGCTGGCAAAAACATCTCGCTGAAAAGGTAGTGGATGCTTGGAACAGATTTCCAGCTGAGCTGGTGAGCCAGTCAACAGAAAGTGAACTCAGACATGCTTGGGGTAAACAAAGGTCAGACTCGGTGGACCACCCGATCTTTATCATCCATCAGCTGGTCTTCTATGGCACTTGTACTGATAGAATATGAAGGCTGCTATTTCTGACCACCCCTTCTGCAAATGCTAGTTGCCTGGCTGTCATGCTGATCCATTGGCTTCAGCCCTTTTTAAGGCACTGACTCAGATCAGGACTTTACTTTTTATTCTGCGTGCTGTCCCGTGTCTGGTAAAACCAGTCGTCCAATATTCCGATTAGGATGTCAGCTCCCCATTTTCCACATATTGCATTTCTTTTACAGCGACGCATTGCATTTACTGTGTGTTACATCAACAGACATTGGGCATTAACTGCTCTGCGTTGGGGTGTCATTCATTTTGTTTTTTGTCCTGATGCATTAGTACAGTAGAGTGCAGGCCGTCCCTAC